GCGATTTTTCCATCGGAATTCTAAAATTTAATATATCTTAAGACTTCAGCAAAAATATTTGGTAAAAAAAATATTTAGATTTACGTGAGCTAAACCGATTTGAAAAAAAAGTCTAAAACATATCATTAAGCAGTTTTATCCTGACCTAGCAACTATCTTTATTTTTTATAATTACCAAATTGGGAAGTGTTTTTTTTTTATTGGTATTTTTCGAAAAACTCACAAAGCGGTTTTGATAAAAAGCCAAATAATCGAACACCCTAATGAATACCCCTAATATTTTTCCTAAATACATATTTTGGCAGAAATCTTCAAATATAATAAATTTGATATATACGTTGAAAAACAGAGCTTTTTTTTGTGTATGGAGTGATCCATCCTAATGTACTGCTATACGTACATATATGTAGGTACATGCAGTTTTTAAGCGTAAAATGTAACCAGCAAGTGCAAGCGGCTAGCGTGTGGCATGTTATTGGCATAGCGGAAGCTCGCATTCACTGACGGTCTGATATATTGGCAAAGGCAATTATAATTTTTTTCTATTTCGCGATTTTTTTTTTTTTTGTATAGACCACCTTGCTAATGACTGGGGTGTCGATGTTTAAGCTGCTGGAAACATGATGTTGAAAAACATATTGGGTATCATTACTGGCTGTCCGCTTTCAGTAAAAACGTAGTACCAATTTTTCCAGGGCAGTAAGACACGTAGAGAACATTAGGGGGAGGTAAATAACATAATAATCTAAATTATTAGTTAAAAATGCGCGAAAATGTTAAGAAGTCCAACCCATCGATGGTTTTCCGCTAGGTGTGGTACCAAGAGCAAACCAACCTCGGTTATTGACTTCTTTGCGCGTGTAGGTATCAGAACACCTAGATATGTCATTTCAGAAGCTTGGTCAAATAATTAGGTCCTTTTTACAATATGTCACAACTTCTTCGCCTTCTTCTCTCAGGTACGTGAGTAAGTACAAAAATATTTACAATTTTCCATTTTTTACCGAGTTTTTCTTCAATCAGTATGTATTTGCTTTTTGTAACCGCGTACCTACCGCTTTTTGCTGCATTTGCTTGGCACACGCGTCTTAATTGCCTTTAATGCCTGAACTTTGAGGTTAAATGCGGCAACGCGCAGCTCGAACACAAACTCAAAACGCGACTGGCATGCGCGGCACATGTTCAACTAACCCCTTGCATTACAAATGTGTGTGTACACTTATGGATTTTAAGTACATATTTACATGTAGGTACGTATGTAGTTGCTGGCTGGCGCCTTTGGTCTTTTTTATTGCTTCCTATTATTTTTTCGACATACAATTTCCATTGACGCTTAACAAATCTCAGGTAGCTGTTTGCGCGGTTAAAGGCTAAAAATGGTGTAATACATGCGAATGGGGGCTAGAAAACACATTACAACAACAACAGCGGCTAAAAACAACAATACACGTATTGTAAGAAAAAAAACAATGCTTGTACCCCTTTACAGTGCAGGAAAATTCAGATGCCAAAAAACCAAAGCAATGTATGTATATGTCACTTGCCAAACCCGATCTTACGACAAACTAAAACTAGTTATTCCTAAATTAAACTAGTTCTCGGAAAATTTTCTCAAGCCAAAGTACGCAGAGTAAAATTTGGTAATTGATATTTGAAAATTTTGATTATAAAAAATGAATAATTCTTAAATTTCGACTATTTTTGCAATACATTGATTCTATTTACGCCCCGGGTGTCGTTACTTCTAAAACCGGCCCTGCATACATGAAATATAATAAGCTCTAATAAAACTCAACAGCCAAAAGCATAGGGAATTTTCACTTTTTCTTTTCTTAAACCCTTTTCGTCTAAAACCCATGTGGTGGTACATATTGCAATTACCTGATTCCCTTAGTTCAAGTATAGTTTAATTTTTCAAACAGGTGGCAACCCCCCTGCTTGGAGTTCACAAATTAAGCTTTCAGCACCATTGCCATTGATAACTTTACTGTAATAGTTCCTTTAACTTATTACAAAATTAAATTCGACTTTTCACACAGGTGGCAACCCTGCTCAAAATATTTTCTTAGTAAACCCTTCTTAAACCTATTTCAATTTCCCAATTTTCTTAATTCGAGAAAAATTTAATTCTTTAAACATGTGGCAACTCTTCTGCATTCATAACCATTTAGATTGATACCCATATTGAAAAAGTTCATATATGTAACTTATTAAATTAAATAAATTTAATTTAATTTCTTAACAGGTGGCAACCCTTAATCAACTTTATTTTATATACAATATATAGTTACACATATAGATGCATACCAAAGGTGACGACAACATAACACCTTTTCACTTGTTCCGAGTTTATTCAAGATCAACCAAGACAAAAGTCTTTGGAAAGAAAATAGTAAATTTTGGCAACAACCTTCAAAGCTATTTAATGTCTTGCGAAAAACGAATTGAAAGATCTGCTAACGTGGGGTCTTAGCGTTATGATGTCCGCCTTTAGCAATAAGTTCTTTAAATATTTAAGTAAAATAAAAAAATTACATATATATTTTTCTTTATAAAACAATAAAATCTAATAAATAAAAGAATATTAAATTAAAAATAGAAAAAAATAAAACAAAATTAAAATAGAGAAAAAAAATAAAAATATTTTTAATAATTAAATTAAATTTTTATTTTCTTTTTAAAAAATGAGATCCAAATATTAAATTATAGAAATAAAAAAATTTATTCAAAAGGAAGAAACTAGTATTGAAAAATTAAATTAAATAAGAAAAGAGAACATTTTATTAAAAAACTACAAAAAATTACATATAATTATAGCAAATAAAGTATGGTCTTAAAATGTAAATGAAATAAAACATATATATATATATTTTTTTTTTAATAATAAAAAATTTAATTTAAAGGAAGAAAACGAATTTTGTATAAAAAGTAACAGTACAAAATCCTAAAAATTAAATGAAATTAAAAAAAAAATTAAAACAATAAAATCTAAAAATTATATATTTCTTTAAAAAAGTAAAATCTAAACATTAAAAGAAAATTTTATTGAAAATACAAAAAAATAACTTAAAACACATAAACTAATATCCTAAAAATAAATGAAATAAAACAAAAAGTTTTTTTTAACAAATTAAATTTACAAATTAAATTAAATTAAAACCACCTTTGTAAAATATTAACATCTAAAAATTAAAAGAAAATTTATTTAAAAAAAGGAACAGTCCAGCGCCTTCGTCTTGGTCTGCAGGCTGTATCGGAGATACACCCGCTAAATTTAAACGTAGAATACGTGGTATGGTTAAGAGCATATCCAAGTCAAAAACGAAAGCACAAACTAAGAAAAAAATATCGATAACAAAAGCGATAATAAAATCGATAACAAAATCGATAAAAATATCGATAACAAAATCGTTAACTAAATCGATTACAAAATCGATAAAAAATCGATTACAAAATCTAT